TAAGGTAGATTAGAACCTCACCATCCTAGATTAGTTTCCTTGTTCACGTAGATCTACCTTAACTCTCTCGATATTAGGCATCTACTCCTAGAAAAGTGGCAATCTCTCAAAGGCTAGGAATGTTTTGCTTTTGCACTAGGCAGTCTCTCAAAAGCTCTTACAGGATCAAGGCAAAATTTTGAAACAATGAACAAAAAAACACTTAGCATAAATAAAAAATGCATCATTCATTAACAATTGAACAAAGTATCATTCAAGAAAATATTATTCAAGCGTTATCCAACACAAATAAAATAATTATGGTGTGGTAAATATTATCCAAATATCATTCTTTAAGTACAAACCTTTAAACGGTATGGAAATGAAAAAAAAGAAATAAAAACTCCCAAAATCATAGCTCTACAGCATTTTGACCACCACCATGCCTGCTCTGGCGACCAGTCTCTTTCAAGGGCATGGTTGCACTTCAATGAAGTCTAGCTATGGAGGGCCCCAAGGACGGTTGAGTGGGGGATGGTGTGAAAGTGAAGTGTTGCAGCCGCGTACTCCAAGCATCGAGTATATTCTTCTCACTTCTCTTCTCTTCTCTTCTCTTCTCGATTCCTCGTGAAAAGTTATAATGGGTATTTATAGTGGGAATTTATAGGGTTTAGCACCCTTGGAAAATCCCTAAATACCCTAAATGTCATACCCATTTTATGAATGATATAGCAGCTGGCAGTGGTCTCAATTAACTTAATAAGTGCACGATTGCATGTGAGGTTGAAGTTGGGCAAGCAACGTCAGCAGTGTCGTTGAGGTGCATCAAACTTGCAAGAAATCTTTCGCTTAGGCAAGAAAATATATTCCTCATTATCGTCTTCTTATGCTCCACTGGCCCTAGCAAATTGATTTGTATCGATAAATGAATTCTTCCTTTGTCATTTCCTGTATTTACACAACTAGCAAACAACCTTCCTCCTCAACAGCATTAGTTAAACCAAATAAAATTTGCCATGGAAAAACTTATCCACCACATGCAAATATGCCTTAAATGCAATTATATGCAACTAAAATGCTATGATAAATGGCTTTTAGATAAATAATAACCTAAGTAAAAAGACACATAACGTAGTATTTTACATAGTTATCAATCAACCTAAGCTTGCACTTTCCGATGGGGATAAGGTTTTCACTAGTGCATTTTAGAGGGATTTTCTCAATCTATTGGGCACTACGACCTTGTTCACTATAACTTATCACCCTAAAACTAATGAGAAAACTGAGAGGCTTGATCAGTTCCTCGAGCAGTATTTGCGAGGGCTATGATTTTTGAAACCTACTATTTGAGCTAAGTCCCAAGCTGAATGGTGGTACAATACCAGTTACCATACAACGTTAGGTACTACTCCATTTCATGATTCATATGGGTATACTCCGCCTACCATGAATTGGGTAACGAAGTCTCGTGTAGCTGATGTACAATAATTTATGTAGGAATGAGATGACATAAATAGTATTTTACATACACAATTAAGTAAAGCATAACAACGTATGAAACAATTTATAGATCGCAACTGAGAGACAAAGAAGTTTAAGTGGGTGATTATGTTTACCTTAAACTCTAGCTTTATCGTCAGAGTCTCTGGCTCTACGTCTGAATTTAGAGCTTGCAACTCAATATTACGGTCCTTAGAAAGTCTTTGAATGAATGGGGTTAGTTTCTTATCTGTTTGATTTACCAACTCATTCAAAATTACACCTGATTTTCCATGTTAGTCTACTAAAAAAGAAAGTGGGTAGTTTAAGTGTTACCTTGAGAGAGCCTCATAATGTGACTGCTGATGGTCAGGTTCATGTTTACCCTGCAACTGTGTTAGATAAGCATATTATAAAGTGTGGTAATCGAGCTATTACCCAACTGTTAATTTAATGGTCGAGTTTGGGATTAGAGAATGCTACCTAGGAAGATTGAAGTGTTTTGAAGTCCTAGTTTCCATACTTCGATTATTGGGGAAAATCATCGGTTGTAGAATGAGGTATTGTCATGGCCTATGGTGAGGAATTAGGGTTTTACATAAGGGAATTAGGGAAATTAGGAGATTTGGGAATCATGGATGACAAAGAGACGAGGAGGGTGAAATTACTTGAAGGGTGTTTGAAGTTGCATGTGATTGATGGGTCATCTGGGTCAACTGGGGAAGTACTGGGACATGGTCTGGTAGAAGCCCATTAAACTTTGTCTTTGAGTTTGCTTGTGAATAAATAATTAAATAGGTGTAGCCAACATTTGGAGAAAGGGAATCTATTCTATTAAGGGAAAATTATATATATAAATACCAAAATGTAATAGAATGTTTCTTTTATGAATGAGAATTGGCACAACTCTTCTTTCTTCAATTTTGTTCTTCTTCCTCTGATTTTCTTCATAAATCTTCCACAAATCTAACAGGATCTCTCCTTATTGCTCATTCAGTAACGTCGTCCATGGATTATCTATAGAGTAATAACGATTTCAGATGATGCAATTGAAAGGACTCTTTCATGATAGCCTTCATGTATTATAGCTGAGGCAAATTAGTTCCTAAGACCTCTCTTCTTTCTACTACAAATTTTTAGACTTAAGTTTGAGCCATTTTGTGGAATTTTGGGTTGATGATAACTTGTCATTCTCCGATCAAGAGTTATGAATTGTAAAGTATTTATATATTGATGATTATTATTGTTACAATAAATGAGTATATATAAGCCTAAGATAGAGATTGAGTTCTAATGTAGACAATCACATAGAAATTCAGTTATACACAAGTCATAGAGTTTCAGAAGATGTATAAAAATTATTAATTAATTAAAATTAATATTCTTTATCTCTAATACACCCTTAGAAGATGGAGGGAGGATAAGTCATAGACATCAATCTTAGAGCGGAAGTAAAGAAAAAGATTTCTACCAAAAGCTTGTCAGCAAGTTAAGCTTTAGAAAGATTACGACGAACAAATAATGATCATGTAACAATCAAGTCACGAACAAAGAAAAATCAAGTACAATATGCTGCATATGGAGATGAAAGAATCGATTTTTGTAAACATATTTGACACTAAAATTGTCACAAAAGAGAGATGATGGTATGCAAACATATCTCATAAGTTGCTCTTGGTACACTTTCTCTTGTAAAATACCATTAAATAACATTAATAACATGAAGTTGTTTACACATGATGTAGTGCAAGAGTTAAATAAAAGGTATCATAATTAGTTTCATCATAGGATGAACATCTCAAAAAAGTCTCACCTAGCTTCTTTAGAATATTCTTTGACTACTAAATGAGTTTTGTATGAGAGACATCAAGATGGTGTTTCACTCGAAACATCCATTTGCATCCAATTATGGATTACTTGGGTCATGAAACCTGAACGTGCAAGGACTGTCCCATATATTTTCCATATCATATCGGTATAGCCGGCTAAGGTTCTTAAAAAGAAGCCCTAGTCATATCTTTCTCCCGCTCTTTTCCAATCATATCCCCAAATCTTAAAACCCGACAGCACCCTGGCACACCTCAGACGGCCATACTTCTCTCGCCGTTCACTGCCCATCTGATGTTCTTCTTCGCTCACCATAACCAAGTTGTATCATCCACGCCCTATTTCTGCCCCCGAAATGTTACTGCCACCGCACTAAAAAATTTGAACCCAGGATCCAATTTCAGTCGTGTCCTTGTATTCCCCTTTTTTATTACCCGGATTTCAAAAAGCAAGCTTTTGGCTTAAATTCAAGATATGGTTAAGCCTATGTCTTTATTTCGTGTTTCTTCACCAGTTAGTTATTTTATTTATCCCCCGTATTTTTCACATTATTTAAATACCATTACTACCTTCATTGAAGAATCAAGTAAGGGTTCTATATCTGTAAATCGAAAGTTACAAAAGCATGATTGCTTTGATGATGTTGAAAATGCTTTGACTTCGTTTCACAAGATGATTGATGAGTATCCAAAACCTTCCATTGTTTAATTCAACATATTATTAGGAATCATTGTTAGAATGAAACGATATGCTATTGTGGTTTCTATGTATTGCCTGATAGAATTATTAGGAGTTCCCCTTGATGTTTACTCTTTCAACATCTTGATTAATTGCTTTTGTCAATTAAGTGAAATTGATTTAGGATTTTCTGTTTTGGGGAAAATGCTCAAGTTAGGTGTTAAACCTGATCTTGTGATTTTTGACACTTTGATTAAAGGACTTTGTAAGCAAATGTAGATTTCTCGGGCTATGAGTTGATTGATAAAATGATCGAAAAAGGCCATCAACCTAGTTTAATTGCTTGCAATATGATACTTAATGGGTTGTGTAAGATCGGAAACATCAAAAGAGCCCTTAGGTTTTTAAGGATGATTGAAGAAATGTTTCAAACCCAATATTGTAGCATATAACACCGTCATTGACCATCTTTGTAAGAATGACTTACTAGAGGAGGCTTTCAATCTCTTCTCTAAAGTGGAGGTTAAGGATATTTGACCGACTATTGTTACAGTTTCTTAATTCATGCTATGTGTAAGAAGGGGATGGTTTCCAAAGCTGAATAAATCGTTAACACAATGATAAAGCAAGGTATTAAGCCTGATGTTGTCTTGTATAACATATTGTTTATGCACTTTGCAAGAAGGGGATGGTTTGCAAAGCTGAAGATATCATTAACACAATGAGAAAGCAAGGCATTGAGCCTAATGTTGTCACATATACCATACTGGTGGATGCCCATTGCAAGGAGGGATCGATTTACGAAGCTAAAAGTATTGTTCACACAATGATAAATCAAGGCATTGCGCCTAATGTTGTCACATACATCACTCTTATGCGATACGTGTGTCAATTAGGGAGATTTTCTGTTGCATGCAAAATTTTGGAGAAAGATGCTTGCTTTTGGACCAGTTCCAGACCCAATAACTTATTCGATTCTGCTAGATGGTTGCTGTAAAAATGATAGACTTGAAGAGGCATAGGAAATTTTCCGAACAATGCAGAACAGTGGGTTGGATCTCAATATTGTCTGTTATAATATCCTAATCGACGGCTTGTGCAAAGCTGGCCATATCGAAGCTGCAAAAGAATTATTTTGTGAACTCGTGGTCAATGGTTTGAAACCTGATGTTTGCACATATTTTACTATTACCAATGGTTTCTGTAAAGAGAGATTGCCAGATGCAGCATACCAGTTGTTGAGCATGGGAGAAAATGATAGTTTGCCTAATATCTGCTGTTATAATGTGATGATCCGAGTGTTTCTTCAAAACAATTACATCTCAAAAGCAGCACATCTTCAATTCTTGGTTTTACACAATCAATCTCTCTTCAGTCTTCTTTAAGATTCCTCAAACAGAAACTACCCGCTCTACCTGAGTGGTCCACCGTAACCGATCGTCGACGTTGGTCTTTTTTTTTAAACTATTTTTGACACATCAAATGTAGTAAAGAATTGATAATTTAAGTTATTATTTATTTATTTATTTATTTGTTTAGGGTTATTGAAAGAACAAAGTGAGAAATTAACAGTGTTAACCGAAGACCTAGGCCACTGCCTGGGTACCAATCATTTGGGCGAGCTGGGACTGTTTCACTTCATGCTATCGCTGAAAGGAAGCTTCAATATTGTGCCAGGTACTTAATGTTGACCAGCTTAGCTATATGATTATTCTTATGTTTTTTGGGGTTGAAAAAGAAGAAAAAAATGGCTGATGGGGAAATTTGGGGTTATTTTTTGCAGTATGTATAATCAAAGATTGCAAGTTGTGCCTATGTCTCATGGGATTAGTTCTCAACAAGTATGTTACATGGTTCAAGGTTGGCAATTTTTGCATATTGTCACCAATTTTATTTAGTTTTTAAAGTATTTTTTCATATATATTTGAAGTTTCATATCCATAAGTCCTATCTTGATGAACATAGACATGAGACAAAGGCACTTTAGAAGAAAATCGAGTTTTAAAAGATGCGCCTCAGGCATGCCTAGGCGCGAGGCGCAACCGGGCAATGGAAGTAGCGCCCGCCTGGGTTGGGGCGAGCGACTTACAGGAGGCGGCCGAAGGCGCGCGCCTACAGGCTTTAGACTTCGGGTGTTGGGCGCAAAGCCTTTGCGCTTTTCAGAAATAAAGGAGAAGATGGAGGTGATTTTCCCAAAAAATCATCCTAGGGACCTTTATTTCCTTGTCAGGCACCGTTCAGACTATATTTCCCAATCTAACACCCTTTGCAGAAAGGCGTGCCCCCTGCAGCGCGCTTTACGCTGATCTGGTTCCAGGTGGGGTAAGACGTGCCCCCTGAAGCACGCCTTATGCTGAGTTGGATACACGTGGCTAAAGCGTGGCCCCTGGGGTGCGCCTTACGCCATGTAGGGCTATAGCGCGGGGCAGGGGCCTCGCCTTACCTTTAATTCTGACACGTGTCAGAAAGGCGCGTCCCCTGTAGCGCGCCTTAGCTTTAATTACCCATCTACCCCAGTGTTCACACCCCATCCCTCCCTATTAATACCCCTATTCTCAATCACTTTCATCACACAAAATCCTTTCAACTTCTCTCAAATACTCTTATATTCTCTTATAACTATTTAAGGTATATTTTATTATATTTAGTATTTTCTTAGTAATTTATTTAAATTTAAAATTTTTTAATATTTTATTTAATTAAATTTTTTTGCAGATATAAAATGGAAGGCATTCTACTTTGCTTGGATGGAAATCATATATCTCGACATTTTGCTGATACGGTAACATTTTAACGTTTTAATATAATTTAAATTCTTTGTAATTATATATTTATTTAATGCATGATTATTAGTTTAAGAATTAATTTTTGTAATTATTTATATTTTAGGAGAGGAACCGTATATTAGATCCTTTTATTAGGAACCTTAAGTTAGCGATACCTACCTGTGTCTGGCCGTATTTAGCAGAGGCTGGATTCAGTCACATAGGTAGATATGAAGGTCACTATAAGATAGAACCAGACCTTATTTCTACCTTAGTGGAGCGGTGGAGGCCGGAGACCCATACTTTCCATCTTCCGTGCGGAGAGTGCACGATTACACTTGAGGATGTTTCTATGCACCTGGGGCTTCTGGTTGATGGAGATGTGATATCAGGGATGGCGTACTGTTCCTGGACTACTTTGTGCCGGGATTATCTTGGACGTGTCCCGGAAAGTTTTAACGGTGGTCGGATACAGTTAAATTGGTTAGACACCAATTTTTAGGAGTTGAGCGAGGACGTCTCTGATGATGAAGTTAAAATGTATGCACGAGCATGCATACTGCAGCTGATAGAAGGGTTGCTGATGCCGGACAAATTGTGCAACCAAGTTCACTGTATGTGGTTGTGACATATTGGAGACTTTCATATGGTCGGATAACTCAGTTGGGGCTCGACAGTTTTGGCTTTCCTGTATAGGGAGATGTGTCGAGCGACTGACTACAAGAAAAATGCTATCGGTGAATGTCTCCTTCTGCTGCAGTCTTGGGCATGGTATCGATTGCCCTTTTTATGTCCCATTGTGAAGAACACGTTTGTATTTCCGCTACTATTGAGGTAATTATAAAACTGATTTCATATATTAATCTTTTTATATAGTGTATAATAATTTTTTTCTTGAATAGGTGGTCTACTGACAAAAAAAATCATCAGGAGCTACCTGATGATTTAGAAAAAATTAGGGTGCTAATCGATCAGAAGACTGACACACAGGTATGCATTTTAATGTTTAAAAATTGATTTTAGATTATAGTTATTTAATTAGATTATTATTTTGATAAAAATTATATATATTTGTTTTAGTTTGAATGAGTGTAATATTCTAATGACGATGTGAGGATGGCGATCCCACATGAGTTGAGGGGTCCATCAGATGTTTGGATTGCGATGGTCCCTTTGATCTGTTATGCGATCGTCGAGTGGCACTCCACTGATCGCGTGCTCCGGCAATTTGGTTGTTTTCAACCAATTCCGGAAGCATCTCGCAATATGGACGAGTTGCATAGCACAGATCGACGCGACAAGTCGGATACAGATTGGCTGGTGAAGCATCATGCGTGGGTCGTGCTGTGGGAGGATCGACATCGGCTACTTCCCCATAGAGAGCCCATTTATGATGACCTCTTGACGGTTACTGATGATTATTAAGAGTGGTTCAACAGTAACGGGAAATTGTTTATGCTTTCTGAGGCTGCACGAGGGCGACCTTTTAGTGACGTCGACAGAGACGTTCACCGTCACAGTACCATCGTCCCCCGACTCGTGGACAGAGAGCAGGTGCTTCCGGTTCATCCTCAGCTGCACCAGCAGGACCTTCACAGCAGCCACCGTCTGCAGCGACTTACATACCGTAGCCATATATGATGCCATCACCTCCATTCCCTTACCCGATGCCGCCGCCGCAACCGTCACCTGGTTTTATGACCCCCCCACCGCCACCGTCACAGAGTTGTATGACCCCTCTTGGAGGATATTATGGGTCAATGTTTGTAGATCCGACTTAGGGTTCATATACTGGTTATTTGGCGGGTGCAGCCTCATCACCCATGGCCACCGCGCAGACACCTCCTGTACAGTTTTCACACAGTGCGATGTCTGGGTTTTATGAGTTTTCGCAGTTATCTATGAGCGATGGGATAGCCGGTCATGCACCTCTAGGGTCCTTATTTTATGGAGGTGCTACATTGTCATCGGCTCCTCATTAACAAAATGTATCTTCTCATGACGACGACGGCGACGACGATGACGATGGTGGTAATGACAGCGAGGACTCACAACCAGATATACTAAGAAATCCTCCTCGAGACCGACAGCCATCGCCCTGCGGAACACATTCGCACCGCAAACATCGATAGATTTTGTTTTTTATTATATTTGTATTTAGTTGGTTATTGGACTTTTTGTATTGTAATTTTTTTTTATTTATCATTAAATACTTACTTTATTTTTTTAATTTGGTTAGATAATTTTAAAATTTATTTTGTTTATTTTGTTGGACTTTTTGTTAATTTATTTTGATAATTTTGTTTATTACCATTTAATATCAGTTATTGTAATTTGGTTATTATTTACCATTTAATACTTAATTTAAGTTTGTTGTATTTAGAATTATATTGAAATACCAAATTATTATTAGTTTGATAAAATTAAATAATTTTGTTCGATAACTTTCTTAAGTTTGTCACTTATTATCTCTTTTATTATAATCACATATAACGCCAACGTCCAATATCATCTTCTTGTATCGTTTTTTAATCATCATCAGCGGTTATCGAATGACATTAACTTTAAGTAAATGCAAATTAAAGTACAAGAATTATTATTTGATAAATAACTACATTAGTTCCTCATCAATTATTACTTGATGACAACAGAAGTGGACATGTTCTCCTAGTGTGTCCTGAGTTTCTACAATGCCCACACTTTTTGCCGTGTCTATTTGTTTCTCGAATATCCATATCACAATGAATTCAAATGGATTTTGGACGACCACGCTCCCTCAATAAACTGGAATTTCGTATAATCGGAACCCAATTTTGAACCTTGCCAGGGTCTTTATCATTACCTATGGGCGGAACTCAAATTTGTATACCTTAAAAACTTCTAATAGTAGGTATACGGGATCCACAAAACGGTTATAGTCTTGACGGGTATGCGAGCAAGCTGCTATCACCTGAGAGCATGGATACTTCAGAGCTTGAAAAACCCCGCAGTCGTAAGTTTTGTCCCGTAGATTTTCTCTTAATGACACAACTTCAATCCCTTGAAGAGGTCGCGGTAACTCTGTGACACGAAACATTGCATGTGTTATAGAGAAGCTTGTTACAGACATTCCATTTGATGCAGTAATTTTTTTTATAGATCTACAACTAATATAGGGTGATAGACATGATCGCCTTGCATCCAGGTTTGAGCTTGTCCCCCGAGCTTCGCAAAAAATGCCCCCAAACAAAAATATGTAGTTTTTACCAAAGCCGCTACAGGTAAGTGACGTGCACCCTTTAAGGTCAAATTGATTGCCTTAGCCAAGTTGGTCGTCATGTGTTCATATCGATATCCACCAACATATGCATTTTTCCATATTTCTTTATCGATGAGGCTGATGTAATCGTATCCTTCCTCGTTCTTCGCCCGTAATTCTTGAAGCATGGATTCAAATGTTTAAGGAAGTAGTTCGTAACCTGATCAAAAAATGTAGAACTTAGTAATTTTGTTTCTTTGCAAAATTAAAATGATCGAAAGAAAACAAACTACATCAGTTTCACTTACTCATACGCACAAGTAATTGACGCTCATCATTCTTCTTGTACCTTCCATGGTAGTTCGCAGCAATGTGTCGGATA